AGACAGAAAAAAATTAAAGGGATTTTCGTCCCCCAACTCCTGGGGGAAGGATTGAATACCGCCCAACCAGGAAAAGGGTTCTGTAGTGCCATTTTCCCTGTAGACTTCTCTTCTTTTGTGGATCCAGCTGAACAAATTCATCCAAGCTCTTTTTTGACTGCTGACGTTGGTGACTACGTAGACCCGATTAATTCTGTGCGAATAAGTAGTCATCCTGAATCGACATCCTCGGTTTGGGTTTACGGACTACTTGATTTTTCCTCAATGGTCCTGCCGCGATGGCTAGAGCACAGACGATTAGAGAACGGGTGAATGCCCTAGGACTAAGCCTTGGAGAGGAGAGGGACCCGCTAGAGAGCGCAGAGGCGGTTTAAAGGGCTGAGTTCAAGTAGTCCGTCAACCCGAGTGCTGCAGATCTGATGGAAACACGCCTCAAAGTTGGTCATGATGTCCTCACTCAGCGAATAATTTCACGCAAGTTTCAGGAACCACCTAAAGCTGATCCCAATCAACATGCCGGTCCTCAAGATGACGGGCAAAAGCCGGTATGTTGACCAATAATCTTCCGTAGAACATTCTTGAGTATGTCGCTCTGTTTACAGATGTATGAGTTTGCCTATTCGAAATACCTAGAAGAGGTTGTGAAAATTCTCGAGAGCGAACCGAAGTTTTCGGAAAAGCTCCGTGGAATGCCTGAGGCGGATATCAAGGTAATTTATCGGCGTTCTCGTTTTATTTCCCCGTACTAGTATAAAAATTTTCAAGGCGGGCAAGATTGCTGATCATATTGACGACCTCGATAGTCATGTGTTTGACAAGCTGACAAAAGCAAAGCTTGATGAGCTTGAACGCTTGAGGGAACAGATTCAGAAACAGATCGAGGTGAGAGCATCAGCTCATCCTGTTTAACAATTTTCGAGTTGGTTTTGCCTCTTTGAAGGCTGACGGTGGTGCTCACAACGTGAAGATTCCTGATCATTTGGATGCAACCAACTGGGAAAAGTTTGGTAAAGAAGATTTGAGGAAACTTATTCGCCGCGTAAGTTTTGTAAGCTCCTTTGTTTTCAGTTTTACTTGTTTCAAAATGTTTTTAGACGGTGGAAGACATGGACACCATTGATCGTGAGCGACAAAAGAAATTTAAAGAGTACGAAATGCGAAAGAAGGCTGAAGAAGATCATAAACTTGCCCAAATGAATGAAGAGGTCAGATAATCAGACTTTGAGGTTGTTTCTTGTTTTCATTCCCCTTTCTTTCCTCTTCGACTAGGCGAGAATTAATCAATAGCAATCAATCAGTCGCTATTCATCTGCTGTTTATTTCGTTTTGCGCTTTTGTCCCGCCGAAATGACGTTGCCTTTTGTGGACCGCGTGATGCGTATGGTGCACTATGGGGGTTACGAGGAATTTTTGATTGAATTTTTCAAAATCTTTCACGTTTCCAAAATTCACCTTCAACCCTCAATATGAAATTCACTACCGTTCACCGAATTATTGTTTGGGTATCAAATATTGACTAGAAAAAAGGATATAGAAAAACTTCGAGGACCGCTGCGAGGTAAATGTAGAGAGGAGCTATAACGCAGCGCATCACGAAATGAGAAAACAAAAAAGCATTACATTACTATTTGATATTCAGGAACGGCTAAGAGCCCAAGCATGAGGCTGAGGAGGCGAAAAAACGACACAATGAGCATGAGAAATTGAAGCATCCTGGAAGCCGCGACCAAGCTCGAGGAGGTCTGGGAGGATACTGATCATGTAAGTTCGACATCTTATAATAAATGGTATTCTTTTGAATTATTGTTCGCGGTATTCGAAACGAAAAGGCAAAGATGAGTCGGCGGATTCGTAAATATGACTGTACGGAAGAAGCTAAAGGGTCCCAGCATTAAGTTGGAAGGGAAAATATTGTAACCAAGAAGTCACTCAAAAATTAGATTGATATATATCCTCTTTTTTCGGATCTACCATTATCATCTCACCAGACTCGTAACTTCTCAATGAGGTAAGGGTTTGAAAAATTAAGACAGCGGGCAAAACGGTGAATAATCATGAAAGTAAACGTTTAAATTCATGCAGGA